TTCTGGACATTTATGCTTTTATTTCTTTGTATGTATGGATCACTTGGGTTGTTACTGACATTTGGTGAAAATTTCATGTCATTAGCACCTCTAGTAACATATTTACTGAGAAAAATGGTGATGTGTTCAATACTTATTTTACCCGCTGTAAATACATAATGACATACTAATATTTTCACCCACATCTACATACATGCCTGTATGTATTATATGTACAAATGCATCCCCACACCCTCTTATGTGTTATGAGCATGCATACCTATCCAAGGTTTCTCCAATAAAATAATTAATAGTGACTGTGAAGAGCCCAAGTCCCAAGGCAGACAAAGAGGGGAGCCAGAGCCCGAGACCCCAAGAGCGACCCAGAGCACAGAGCCCCCACAGCAGCAACAAACCCATAGGCCCCCGCCAGAGCCAGCCGCACCAAGGAAGATCCAGGCAAGGGCACAGAGGACCGGGCCCCGAGGACCCCCCTGGCCACGGCCCAACATGACCAGAGGACCCGAGCCCCCCCAGGCAGTCACCGGGCCAAGCCGAAAAACGTCCAGGTGCCCAGCCCCAGACAGAGAGGGCCCCAAGCACGCTGGCAGGGAGGGGCTCATCCCACCAGGGAGCAGTGCACCGGGGCGCAAAGCACAAAAACCTAGCTCAATGACAGAGGGGGCAGTCAAAAGCCCATCCTGACAAGTACCCAATCATACACAAACACATTCATACCATCCCACCCTCATCTTCACACTCATTCACTCAAAGACATACAATAACAACACAATCCAATCACGCTCCCGATACATACACTATCCCCCCCAGGTTCAAGACATGTACCCGCCCCCCGCAGGGAGCAGTCCATATCCAGAACCGGGAGGTAGACCCATTCTATCTGGGGTGGAGAAGAGCCGACAGCCAAGATCCGACCCAGGGCCCGCCCGGCCGGCAGGCCATACCCCCGACCACCCCCGCACCCCACCGACAACCAGGCGCCCGCCTCCGGCCGACCGCCCACCGAACCCCGACATCCACCCCTGGACAGCGTACCGACCGCAGCAATCAGGAGCCATGGTCAGGGGGTCCAAACGGCCCCAGGGAGGGCGGAGCGGCAGAACCTCCCCAGCAACCCCTCGGGCCCCAAACCCCCCAGCAGCCCGGGTCCCCACCCGACAGCCCGCCTCCCCTCCGGACCCCGCCCCCGAAACGGCAGTCGGGCAACGGGGGGGGGGGTTAATTAAGGGAAAAAAGGGAGACCCTGACATGCACACCCCCACCCTCAAATGTGCTGTTGATGTGTGGTGTTCTATAATGTAATTAAAAGGGGAAAGAAGAAGGAGCAGAGGCCAGCATGAAGYCGGTTTTTCCCTCCACCCCGACTCTACCCCAGGAGCCCTAAATGTCTAACTCTGCTCTGTACTTTTTTATTAACCCTTATTCAGCCAGGCTTTGTCCAGAGACATGTTTTGCAAGGAACACCTGGGTCTGAAGACAACCTATTGTACATGTTTTTGTTCTGTGGGGGAAACCGAAGTACCCAGAGAAAACCCACGATGAAGAGAACACCCACGATGAAGAGAACATGGAAGCAGAACAGAAAGACCACAGGTCTGAACCGAGGATTGAAACTAAGACCTTCATACTGTTTGTGAGGGATCAATGCTAACCACTGAGCCATTGTGCTCCGTCTGAGCAGTCTGTCTTGTAAGCTAATCAAATTTCTTGAACTTTGTCAAAATTCAGAGCATTCTCGATTAAAAGGGGTAATTATTTTTGGCACATTTTGTAAATAACCTTAATTAAAATGATAAAATAGAACAGAGGTTAGAGAAGCTGCCTAAGGTAACATGTATACTTTTTTAGTACTTATTTAAAGGAAAAGGTTTTTTTTTTTCATTTTCCTTTCCAAATAAAGTCTAAAACATTACAATGCAACATTACAATACAATTAAAGTGCCTGTGACATGATTCTTTTTAATGGAGTTTAAACGAAAGTTCAACTCTGGAAGACTGATGGCCTCACCTGCTCCCGCAGACCTCCACGTCTCCAGCTCAGCTGCGTCGAATTCAACCTGGAAAGACTCACGAGACAGAATGAAATTTAGGTTTATTGATGTGACCAGACCAACAATGTTATGACATAAATGGCATTAGAGTTTGGCGCTTGGACCCCTGGTTCTGCCAGAGGTTTCTTCCTGTTAACAGGGAGTTTTTCTTCTCTACCGTCGCTCAGGATGGGAGTCTGTGATGAAGTGATTCAACCCAACCTGATGGCTTCCTCTTTTWATTTATTTTTGACCTCCACCACCAGTGTCGGGCCCCGGGAGGGATTAACTCTCCTACCCCTAACTTAAGGCATTTCGTATGAAATTTCAGCTTCACCCAGCACTCTCGTCCTCTGCCGGGGTTTGAGCGCCAAACTCTAATGCTGTTTATGTCAATAATCCTGTTGGTCCAGTCATGTCAATAAACCTCCTAATTTCAGTCTGTCTTTGTGTGAGTCCTTCCAGGTTGAAATAAATATAAAGGCATTATTGGAAATCTAACATTATTTGCATATTGCAAAAATAATTTCCCGCTGCTGAGATGAACAGTTGTTGAGATATTTGCATGTGAAKGAACAGGAAGTGATGTCAAAGGGGAATGACTGCATGGAACAAAGCACTGATAAAATAGCTAACGACACCGACYGTAGAGAAGAATCTGATGTTTCTTCAGATTATTTTGAGACATAATCAGAGAGAGATGAAGACTAGTCAAAATTCAAATCATATTATTTCAATAAACAAAGATTACAGAATTATCTTTCTAACCCTTTGATGTCACTTCCTCTTGCACTGTGACTGAGCCAAATTCAAAATAAAATATGCAATTTATGTGACAAAATGGGTAAAATCATGTTTTTGTAAGGTTTCTTACATAAAAATGTCTCCTTTTTTGTATTTGACGGATAGGCATGTCACAGGCACTTTAAAGTAGTGGAGGTTTGCAGCTCCACCTAATGGCAGCAGATTACAGTGAACAACAACAAGAGCTCTGTCAGTTTGTAAAACACAGATGCATTTATTCTCAGATGTAAAGTCATCCTATTTTTCTCAGTTTTTGTTTAGGTTTTTTTCTGACATTCTTGGTCGTGTTCCTCTCTTTAGTGATATGTTTTTGGACTGAATTGCTTTGCATCTGTCTACTATCGGAGAAACACACTGTTAATATTTCACCTATATCCTGTTGTTTTTAAGTCCTTAAGGAAGTTGAAACACGTTCTGTTGAGCATTAATTAAACATCCCACTGCAAGGTGATGGACAGAAGGTGGCATTTCTCTCCTCTTTAAACTTTTCCAATCAGAAGAAAAACAAAAGTTGGCTTAATATTWACTGATTAAGATTGACTTTTACCTTAAATAAATTATAAATAGAAAAAAACTTTTTTATGTAGTTTTGTGCAACTCTGGGTCATGGCACAATGTGAGGTGGGCTGGGAAATGTTTTAATAGACGATCGACCCATTGTTGAGGTTCAGGGCCAAACTCCTCCCTGCAGAATATGCATAACTGTCCACAACACATTAACCATCAATCTCAGCCTACTCATCGAACAAACCCATGAACAGCATGAGCGGCATRCTTCAGGAGATTCTGGCCTTTGTTTTAACCACATCGGGCTGGGTGCTGGTGTCCTCCACCCTGCCRACAGACTACTGGAAGGTTTCATCCCTTGATGGAACCGTCATCACCACAGCTACTTACTGGTCCAACCTGTGGAAGACCTGCGTTACCGATTCAACTGGARTCTCCAACTGCAAAGACTTCCCCTCCATGCTGGCACTGGATGGTCAGCCTCTTTCTGCTCTCATCACTTGTTCATGTTGATTTATGTCAAACTTCCTCTCATCTTGCAATCTGTCATTCCCACTTTCCTGTAGCTCATTCTTTGTTTTGGATTTTGGTAGAAAATTCTATTTTAAAAAGCACTTTATTCAAATGAATACTGCAAGCATCAGACAAAAGCTTCATGTATGTGCACATTGTGTTAAAGTTTTAGCCTTTTTTTCTCTGAGTTTGAAAGCTGTGAAGGAGATTTACTGAGTACCTCAGGCAGTTGTTTCAGGGGTTAACTTCTGAGGTAATCTGACATGGGCAACATGTTTCAYACCAACACAAGTCATCATGAAGTGCCTGAAAGCAATTAAAGCTACATGAGACAAATTAAATCACTTACTTCAGGTGTAAAATAGTCAAAAGGTCAGTTACTTATTGACCTTGTAGTTTACAGATGTGTGAGAGAGAGAGAGAGAAAAAAGCACCAGATAAAGACAGAAAACTCTTTGGACCTCAAACAAGTCTGCATTTGTCTCACAGGTTACATCCAGGCCTGCAGAGGGYTGATGATTGCGGCCATCTGTTTGGGTTTTTTCGGCTCTGTGTTCGCCCTCGTGGGGATGAAATGTACGAAAATTGGAGGAAGTGACCAAAACAAATCTAAGATAGCCTGCTTTGCCGGCATAGATTTCATTCTCAGCGGTGAGTCTAAATGAGTCTAAATAAAAGCCAAATTAAAATACCTTTTTATTTTTATCTTATTTTTTCTTGCTCTTTTCAGGTCTTTGTTCACTTTCTGCTTGTTCCCTTTATGCTCACCGGATAACCTCTGAGTTCTTTGACCCCATGTTTGTGGCTCAAAAGTAAGCATCTTGATAGAATTTTCCACATTTCCCTACTCCAACAATTTATTTGATCCATTTTTTATTATTATTCTGTGCTAAAACTTATAGCTTTCCACTAGAATTATCCTGAGAAAGCAATTTACACTATGCATTCATAATAAGGACATTTGATTTTGGCCGCTAACTCCCAAATCCTTATATGTTCCATAGAAAAGACCCTATAATTCTAGATCAGATGACCTATTAAAAGCCTTTTTCTTCTAGATTTAGAAAAAAATTCCAAAATATGCTAAACCTGTTTCTGTTATCTCCTCTCAGAAGTTAAAGTGTAATTGGCATGCATGTTTCTAGAACACATCTACAGAGCAAACCAAAACAAAATGTGTGACAACATATAAGTTCTGCACAGCTAGCCATAAACCATAAACTATCTCAACTACCAGAACAATGCTCAATATTAGCAATGTATTCCTTCTAAAACCAAATTTCCCAGATGTCAATTGTTAGGGTAAAAGTGTCAAAGTTTACATTGCTAGGCAAACTTTTCTCACATTTAAATCACTTGTTTGGGAATGAGCTGCGGGGCAAATCAATTAATGGTGAAGATTTACTAAAGTGGATGTGTCTTTTGGTAAAAAAAAAAAATAAGAAAGAGACAGAGAGAAATTCAACTATCCACATTTTAAAATATTACCACAAATCACCATTTGTCCTCCAAATCTAAGCTTATAGGGACACATTTTTAGGTGTTAACAAAAGTTTAATTATGGTGCTTTTGAATCCATCTCTACTTTTTTAGAGGCTCAGAAATGTCATTAACTGTAAAAACTGCCTGACATTTTCACCAAACTTTCACTGTTTGGATCAGTAAAATCATGTGTGATGACTGCAGTTTGCACATATATTTCTGACTTATAATTTTCCTAAGGTATGAGCTCGGAGCTGCTCTCTTCATTGGCTGGGCCGGTTCCATTCTCTGCATCCTGGGAGGAAGTATCTTCTGCCTCTCAATAACAGGCTCTTTTCCCAAAAGGTCCATAACAGATTCTAGATTAATAAGTCATTGAATAGTGCAGCTAACTGAAGTTCAAGTAATGTTCTGTTTTCTCACAGGCACAGAGGTGGTGTCTCGCACTCACATATTTCCTCCTACACCAGAGGGCAGGTGAAGTCTGTGAATGAGAGGCTGCCTGCAGAAAACAGCAGCTCCTCTAAGATTCAGCACTTTAATAAGAATGCCTATGTGTGATTGTTCAATGATTATTAAAGGTTGGGCACCAAATATGGAAATGCAGCAGCTTTAAAAGTTTCTGCCTTCTAGAATTCAATAGTATTGATTTATATTGTTGCTCACTGATAGTTAGGTTTAAAGCACTTACGTGTTTCTTTTAGGGCTATGGATTAAAAGTTTTCTGATGCAGTTTATTCAATGAATTGAAGAGATTATATTCTTTTGTACTCTGCATCATACAGTTGCAGTCAAATGTTTACATAAAAGCACATGGGCATGGATGTTATCTTAATTTTGGGTGTTAAATAATTGATTTGAATCATTCTTTTTCCAGGCTGAAAAGATCACACAACAAACAACTTCAATAGTTTTTATTAAACCAAAACTGGGTGCACAAGTTAAATTTTTCTCCAGTTCATATCTAATGTTTTTTTTACAAAATATTTGACCACTCCTCTTGGCAAAACTGGTAGAGTTTCTTTAAAGTGGCTTGTTTCCTGTCATAATTCCAGCTATTAGGCAAAGTCCTCAAATTTTCGAACCCATTCTCACTCCCAAGTCGTCACATATTGACGCTTTTGCAAAGCTTCCCTCAACGTCAGATTTTGACGCTTGGGGTACCCCCGTCACGTCAGTTACTGACGAGATGGGGCGAAGTCTGTTTTCATGTTTGCCGAAAGTGTAGAAAATGCGCAAAAACTGGCGTTTCGAAGCCCGAAATTTCCTTTGTTAACTTTAGACATGCTGTCCCTGACCGTAGTACCTAAAATTAACCATTTTTGGAAAATGTATAAAATTCACGTAAACATGTTCCAAAGCCTGAAATTACCTAATATTCACCATGGACATCCTACCCCTGATCCCAGTACCTTAACTTAACCATTAATCGTGATCCCTCAGGTTAACCTCAGACCCCCGACCCAAAGACCCCTAGTGGCGCAACCCGGAAAAGCCGCRGGCGTCAAGGAGTGACGCGAGGGGGGTACCCGGCGCGTCAAAATCGGACGTAGAGGGAACCTTGGAGAAAGCGTCAATATGTGACGAGATGGGAGTGAGAATGTGTAGAATTTTCAACTGGGTTGTGGGTTTTTGGGAAGGCAGTTCAGAAGGCTAATGTTTATTCATCCATCAGGTGTGTTGGAGCAGAAAAACCTCTAAAACATGCATCAGGGCTGAGTTTGAACACCACTAATTGGTTTAATTTGAGATTTGGACAAAGGTTTTCATACATGTTCTATAATTCAATTCATTTTGTGAAGGGGAGCAGTACTACAGTATGATATTACCACCTCCATGCTTGACAATTTGGAACAATATTAGATTTGAAAGCCATACATTGACTCCCACAAAAATACTGTCATAGTGACCAAACACCTCAATATTTGTATCATTTCACCATAAGACCCATCTTTTGACTTGTTCAAGTGGGTAAATCTGCAAAATCCAATCAAGCTTGAGCGTGTCACATTTGGAGCAGGGGCTTCTTTCTTGCTCAGTACCTTGTCAGTGCATGTCAGTGTAAAACTTGATTTACTGCAGTCATTGGTACTAGTGTTCCAGTGGCCCAGATTATCCCAACCAATTTCCTGACATGAGTGCTGAAAAAAACAGGCTCCTTATGCTGACAAAGAGAAACTGTCAGCTGCAGCCAATCATGATCAGTTATGAGACATTGTTTGGCCTTGGTCTTATCAAGTTAAACAGCATTTYTAAATCTTCAAAATAACCTATTGAAAGCACTGATGTGAACATATGTATTGTATGTTTTTCGGCCTGTGTGTAGAATATTGAACCTGTGTGAATTAGAGAAAATTCACAATAAATTCTAACTTGTGTGCCCATTTCTTGTTTTTTAAAAATGATTGAAAATGTATGTTGTATTACCATTCCTCTCTGGAGAAAGACATGTTCAAATCTAATATTACCAACCTGAAATTAATATTATTTATGAACATCATGGGTTTATGTAAATATCTGACTGCAGATGGATGTTCTTATAATTAAACAGCAAAATCAAAATCATATTGTCGAGAAGTGTGTAATGAAACATTTGCATTATTTTATCTTTTTTTGTAAATAGTCAAGTGTTTTATTTTTTAAGAAAAAATAAAATAAAAAGAAATAAACGTTTTGTATGATCATGCCACGCTAGTTTGTTGTTGTTTTTTTATACGTTGACTGTCAGGAATAATTTTTATCTTGTTTTGTATGACATAACCATTATGTTTTTGTTACTTAATGAAAAAGAAAACTGGTTTAGCAGATTATGTTGTTTTGTATTCTGCTGGATGTTTCAGAAATATTATGTTTTTCTGATCTCTTATTGGGTCTGCAGGTGGCAGCACTTTGGATTTTTTCCATAGAGTTGAATAATAATAACAATAATAATAATAATAATAA